CCCTCTAACCCCCAGCTACCATACTTTTTTTCAAATGGAAACATAAGGCATGAGGGGGCTCGTTGAAAAGCTTATAGAAAACCGAATCCAGCCATACCAAATAAACAAGTTTTATATTTTCAATAGCAAGGTTTTTAGAGTTGTATAAAACACCTACTTAAAATACAACTAAATAAAATTTAATTATTATCTTCAGTGTTATCCTCCGTGAATTTGCACAGAATAAAATAAATAATTTAAAACTGTACCTATCACTGCTAACGCAAAAAAGATATATTTTTTATGTTGCGTTTTTTTGACAACACTTACTTGCCAGACTTTCAGGTTAATTTTTGCTTTAGTTGTAAATTGGAGTTCGAAACGTTACTATTGTGTTAAACTCAAGTTATTTACTGGTATTGTCGGAAAGGCAACGCATCGAAATCTTGATATTGCTTGGATGTGGAGACAAAATAAGTCAGGCGACAATAATGGTTTTCAACGAGATGTACTTTTTTCGGATGAAGTTACGTTTTATTTAAATGGAGTGGTTAACAGGCACAACTATCGCTTTTGGTCCAAGAAAAATCCACACTGGACATGCGAATCGCATACGCAGCATCCACAAAAAGTTAATGTATGCGCAGGTATCATCAACAACAGAATCTTGGGCCCATTCTTTTTTCAAGAAAATCTTACTGCCGCACGCTACCTGGATTTCCTAACATTTGACCTGATACCTGCTCTAGCTGTGATTTTCCCTCATGAAATTGATCCAGATACACCGAATGAAAGAATTTGGTTCCAACAAGATGGCGCTCCCCCACATTTTGGTATTGATGTTCGAAGATACTTAGATGAAATGTTTCCAAATCGCTGGATTAGTAGACGGGGTGCAGTTGAATGGCCGCCAAGATCCCTCGACTTAACACCCTTGGTTTATTTTCTTCGGGGATATTTGAAAGAAAGAGTCTACCAGGACAGACCGGATAATATTGAGAATTTAAAGAACAAGATTAGGGCGGAGATGCATAATTTACCAGCTGAAGTCATTCAGAATGCTGTGGACAGCTTTTACTATCGTCTTGGAGAATGCCAAATAGTGAATGGAGGACATTTTCAGCATTTGCGACATTGAGTTTATTTTTGTAAATTATCTAGTTGTTTGAATTTCTAAATGAAAACTTGTTTATTTGGTATGACTGGATTCGGTTTTCTATAAGCTTTTCAACGAGCCCCCTCATGCCTTATGTTTCCATTTGAAAAAAAAGTAGGGGTAGCTTGGGGTTAGGAGGTTGAAGAAAAATTAATTATTATACTCGTATAACCGAAAGATGGAAAATTAACTCGTTCAAAAGATATGAATTTTATTCCGTACTTCTGGCCATCCCTGTACCTATTTATACTAAACTATAGAGCGTCCTATTGATGAACAATATCGGTTATGTTATGGGTCTGTGGTGGCTCAAAAAATAGAAAATATTGCAGAAAAGTGACAATTTCTATTTACTAATTGGCCTGTTTCAGCGACTTTTTTAAATTTCAACTGGAAAAAAATATGAATTTTGTTCTATCATTTTCGAACAGTATTTTGTTATGTATTTTTTTTTACAAACGACTAAACACAGAAGCCTGTATATATATTAGGATCATACGGCTTATGGTGTTTTGTAACACATCAAACTATCTGTTTATGTCGATATTTTACATAAAAACGACACGTTTTGAATGCCTAGGTGACATACAACAAATATAAAATTAACTTTTTATGTATGTTAATTGGAAACATTAATTTAAATCTTAGTTGTGTAAGAACAATTCATTTGCATGTAAAGTATTTTAGTGCCACTTTTAAATACTTTGTTAAACTGACTAACAAGTCGCTAGGACTGGAACTGTTTTTTTCAAACTGCATGACGGTAACTGTTGACGAAACTTTGTGTTTTCCTACCACGTTAAATAAAACTAATTTTGGTTCAACTGTCACGGAACTAACAATAAGAGCTGTTATATTTGAGTTTCGATTTTGTCGTTTAGCACATTTTTACTAATTTTGACAACTAACACCTTTCAGCAAACACCGGACGTTTTGTTAAAAGTATCTGTATAATTATAAGAGCAAACACAAGAATTTGAGAGTTCTAAATATATTACATCATTTTTCTAGATTTCAATCTTGGTGAGAAATATATTAAAACTCTAGAGAAGCGAAAGAGATTTTATAAAACTGACGATATAACTAGTTTTAGGCACAAAAAAACTTCTTGTCGATGTCATATTGTGCAGAAATAAATGTCGGCGATATCAGGCGCGTCTAACTGTTTAAAAATTACCATAATTTTGACAAATAGGATCGCCAAGAAAACGCAATCAATTATTATCCCATAAGACACTTTGCGATGTCCATTTTCGGATAGGAACAATTGACAAGCAATTTGTATTGTCTACGCCTTTGTAGGTGTCCTTTTGACTTTACTGTCGGCCACGTCGACTTGATCCGTCTACATTGAAAGAAATATTCGTTTGTTATTGATCACTAAGAGAAAAAAAGAAACGAAGTGTCAGATATCAGTTAAATTGAAAACTGCTCAATTCTGATTTCATACAGAGATTAATTTCGACCAAATAAACGTTTATAAAGATTTAAATAAAACATTGCTAGTAGATAACTATTTTTACAATTTTTGATAGTTTTATATATAACTTTACTAGATTTACTGGCACAATAATCTTTCTGAGACTCTAACGCTTATTAAGCTGTTAAAGCCTCTTTTTTTTGGACCATCTAACGCATATCTCTTACCTGTAGCTGTAATAGTTTGCATATTTCCCATGGTGCTGTAACACGCAATGTCTTCCGAATTGGCTAAAATGTTGAGAATTTTTGCATACCGTACAAGTTTAGTAAGTTTAGATGCCCAAACAACAACTCTAGCCCACACAAAAAAAAAACATATTCCAAAGCGTGGTAAAATCTCCACAGGACTATGCGGTTCGGTGTAATGAGGACCAATTTTCTATTTCTTGAATAGTTTAAACAAAACTGAAATATTATTGGGGTAATCCATGTTATGCAAAAAGCTGTTACAGTTCTAACCGTGCATAAAACATTTCAGAGAAACCGGAGTTGATATGGCTCCGAAATTTTGTTTACGGGTATTATCAGATATGCTCTCTTCAATGAAAATAATGCCATCGACGAAGCACTTCCTGTCATACCGAAAGTAGCTGTCAACTTCGTTATTTTAAATGGAACACCCTACATATTATTGCATTATCGTCAAGACAGTTTAAAAATAAGTCAAAAATGTTAAAGCTTCTCTGTACTTAAATCTAAACGTTTTCGAGATAATCGACGTTTTATAAAAATTTTGACAGATGCAAGCGTTTCAAGAATTCCTTATATCTTTCTTCGTTCTGGAAGCTTTCTCTTACTTTTAGGAACACAAAAAGAACATAAAATGCACCACTATCAAAATTGCCTGAAGGAAGTTATACTGAGTGTCCTATTTTTTACGTTACATTTTGAAAATTTAAAACTGACAAAACTTTTTAAATTTAAATGGAACTCCCTGTATTTTTTCCATATTATAAAAAATCAAATTCTCTTTTGACCGATATTGGCATTGTAGCGGTTACAGCTTCAATTTTCTCAGATATTTGCGGTTTTTTTTACATTCTCAATAATATCACGTTAAAAATATCATCAAATATATCTTGAAAGACAAATATAGGTACTGTCATTCAGTATTTTACAAGTACCAAGTATTTTGAATTTGTTGTATGTCCAAGGAAAATTCACCATGAATCAGAATTATAAGCTGAAACAGAACCATTAATAAAATATTTTCGGTTGGTTTTATTACAATTTTTCTTTAATTTTTAATGTTGTTTTTAAACAACATAAATAATTTCAAAAAAGTAATATACCTACGCATTATCAAATAGTTTCATGATCTTTGGAATGAAGTTGAAAGGATATTATAATTTAAAATGTTGGTTGCTGAAATTATAATTATTAAAAACAAACTTGCAGCTACTAATAGTAGCATCCCAATGGAAGAAAATATTTATTAAAAAAAAATAAAAAATATTTCAAAGTCCTACAGAGAACGCTACTTTCATTCGCGTTCAATTCCTCAAATGTGGCAAATCACCAAATCATAGAAACGCAGCTAATAATTCTGATTCATGGTAAATGTCCCATTGATATAAAATTTATTCAAAACATCTTCATTAGAATAATTATTTTGCGTTTTTCTTGTCGAGAAAATACTTGTAGAATACTGAATGACAATACCAATATTTGTTTGTCAAGGTACAATTAATGATATTTTTAAAGTAATATTTTTGAGAATGTAAGAAAACCGTAAATTTCTGAGAAATTTGAAACTGTGCTGTAACCTCTATAATGTCTATATCGGTGAAAAGAGAATTTGATTGACTATAATATTGTGCAAAAAACACATTGTGTTCCATTTCACGTTAAAAAGTTTTGTCGGTTTTAAATTTTCAAAATGTAGCGTAAAAAATGTGACACTTAGTATAATTTTCTACAGGTAATTTTAAAAATGGAAGGTAGAACATATCATATTCCTTGTGCATTCTGAAAAGTAAGTGAAAGCTCCCAGAACGAAGAAAGATACAAGTAATTTTCGAAACGATTGCATTTGTCAAAATTTTTATACAATGTCGATTATCTGGAAAACGATTTGATTTAAATGTTTGGTTTCTCTGAAACGTTTAATAGGACACTTACCGGGAAGAACCCTGCATACAAAATGAGTTTACTGTCTTTATATTCTCAAAATATCAACGTTTTGTACTGCCTGTTTCAATTTAACATCAACAAAAAATAGAAATACAGTTATTTCAACATATTTTTCATTTTAATGGCCTTATTTCTTTATCTATCAACATTTCTGGCAATTTTCTTTTCCATTAAATACTACACAAACCAGTCAAGGACGAAATAAAACAATAACTGCGTATACGTGAACGTATCGTTTATTTTTCGCTATAGTACTTCCTATTTACAAAAATATACATCGGGCAAATTTACAACAATATTTACAGTATTTGGTCTAATACACTAACATCACAAAATGTACAGTAGTATGGTACAAATAACGCCAACTCAAACATAATCCATATAAATCTTATAAAACATATCACAATTTCGTCCCGCTGGACGAGTCACATCCCGACGTGAAATTTCGAAAACCTACAACTGTACAAAACCGAAAGGTGGGCAATAAATAATTTCGGTATGGCAATAGAACAATAAATAAATAAATTACCTAGTACAGGCGCCGAACGTACAGGGCGTTTGAAAATGGTGAACCCAGACGCGCCACTGTCCTCTATCCAACTATACCCTGCAAGAATTCGAAAAAAAAGTCCGTCCCTCGCGTACCAAACTAGGTGTTTGCGAACACTGATTCACACTTGAGTATCTGGTTGTACACTCTGTCTATCCTGTCGTTGAGGATCTTCACGCTCTTGTCGGGGATGGTAGGGAGGATATCCTTCACACTGTCACTGTTTAGCCTGTCGAACATGTCTCTGAGTAAAACCCCCACGTCTCCCTTGGTCTTCAGTCTCTTTATAACGTCCACGGTTTGCTTCCTGAACATGCACAGGTTGTCTAGGAGGATGGAGTGGTAGATCTCGTACTTTTTCAACAGTCTGTAGCCGTGCAACAATCCCGATTCGTTGTCTAAGAACACCAACAGATCACTGTCCGCTTTCTTCGCGAGATTGTGAGCTGGCGCGTCCATAATGTTGGTATTCCACTGGTAGTTGTACAGATTGTTCACTATCCTGTCTAAATTAGCGGTGAGGTAGTCGAAAACTATCAAGTCCGACCACTGGGCCAGCTCCACGAAGCTCCCGATCTGATCCTCGTCGTTCCTGGTCATATTCAACACGTCCAACTTGTTGAGGTGCCTCTCCACGGGCTTGAACACAGCGGGGATGTTAGCAGAGTTCAAATTGGAGATGAACTGGGTCAATACTATGGGTCTGTTTGAGTTCCACTGTGCAGAAGCGATTTCATTCCTCAAGTTCCTCCACAGGGGTTGCCCCAGGTCAACTATACTCACTGCGCTAGGCGCTAGGTTGGGTAAATTCAAGATCTTCGCGAGGTAGAAACTGAACAGCTCCCCTTGGATCTGGTCCGTGTTCTGTCTGTAGCGCACACAACCCTTCAGACCATCCTGGAATGTCACCAAACGGTTCTGCATCCTGCCGCAACCGTTCTCCATCTTCACCGCCACAGCTTTCTTGACGTAATCCTGCCACACGTCGTGCTTCTGCTCCTTGTACCCTTCCGGTAGGGCCCGTTCGATTTTCTTCCCCCAGAAGATGCCGTTCTCCACCAAATCCTCATCGGACCGCTCCAAAGGCACGAAACTCTTCACGAAAGACACCGTGGGGTACTTGTCGCTCTCGGAATCGTTCTTGTACGCGTAGCTGTTGTTGAGGAAGATGGTCCTTATTACCGCGGAGGCGTTGACTGTCTCCAGAGCGACCGTGTCGTTCCTGGGAGGGGTCTTGAGGTACACCAGGGGAATGAGGATGCCTATGGTGAGCCCCACGCTGAAGGCGAACACCGCGCTTAACAAACACAAGTTCTTGTACACGGCACTGGACAACTGCGTCGACTTCGCGTCGCTATCCCACGAGATGAGGCCGGGTTTGGCACCGCCGAAATTCGTGTAACCGCCCATGGTGGTACGCCGTTACTTGGACAAACGCTGACTCCTGTGCACTGTGCTCGATACTAGCCGGTCATGTCGCTGGTGCGGACGTCTGCGCGTCTCGGATGGCTTATATAGACTGATCTTTCTCGGCCGTATGTCTGCGGTTAACAATACTACTCCGGTAGAAGGTAGTGGGAAGCATATCTGACATATTTGGGTAGACAGAGAGGGTCTGGGGTCGAGGATGGCCTGGCGCGCGACGGAGACGCACGACTGGGACGAGATGGGTGAGAGAGAGGCACGCTGACGCTGGATGTAGAGAGTGACATTAGAGTTGAATGGCGAGGCAAGTTCATCTAGGTCGAGAAGTGTTGCCGTTTGGGACCCTACTACGGTTTTTTCGACGTGCCAATTATGATTAGGCTTCGGGATTGCGTCTTGTCTCTGATAAGGTCGCGAGGAACTTTGTTTTATTATCTTAGACGAAAGATTTGTTGCAGTGAGATATAGAAATACAAAGCGAGACGAAAAAAACGATTGAACTAAGAGATCTACTACGCAAACCTTGTCTTGTGTCTCTGGTAACTTCAAAATACATTAAGTGAAAATTAAAAAAATGGTAGGAATACGTTGTTTTGAAATTGAAACGAAATGGAACGTTAATAATCAAAATAGTATATTAAACAACAAGTTCAGAAAAGCAAAATTTGATTTAACGAATTTAGCTTTTGAGTAAGTATAAGCGAGCGCAGCGAGCGAGAAATTTAAAAGCTATATGAGTTCAGTAAAACTGATTTTCTTACAAGATTTGTTTATACCATTTTTTGCTTTGTGTTTATAGTAATTATAAGCAAATAGTGATAGATATAAAAGCATTACAAAGTTAGAAATTAAAAAAAAAATCATTGTAGGTACTTGTACAGGGTGATCGAGAATGATTGACCGTGCCGCCTCATACTGATTTTTGATGTGCGGCATACCAGTTTTTGATACCAATACTAGAATCATGAGCGCAGGTTGAGGGATTTTAATGGTAAACAAATAATTACGTTCAAACGTCAAATAAATTAGGTTACTGTCAAAATGGAAATTCATAATAAAAATATCAATTATTTAACAAAAATCAAAGTTATTTCACAAATTAAGCAATACTGATGGACCAATAAATGTTATTATTGTTATTATTATTAAAGAGGATGACAGAATCAAATGTAGGTTTAGCCTAACTTTTCCAAAATTCTTATTTCATTTACAATTAGAAAAACTTTTAAATCAAAGTTTGATGTAGCTAATTTTGAATAACGACTGTAAGTGCTTCAGCGATTTTATTTTTAAAACGTTATGAGTTAATTTTAAAACAGAAGCACTATTGTGGCTACATTCTTGGCATCTAAGACGATTCAGCTATACAGCGATACGCTGCAAGCTGCTGTTTTTCATCAAAGCAAACTGCTGTATGCTTATAAGACGACTATTTTGCAGCTACTGCTTTCACACTTCTGAATATCCAGCGCAAGCGATCCAGCCCAAAAATTTATGCTGAACATTTTAGTTAGCTGTCGAAATTCAGGAAAAGTGTCTTAAAAAAATTTGCTTCAAGCAAATGCAAGCAGTTGGAAGTGCTTGATTATGTTAGATGGTAGGATTGTCTGTATGACCGAGAGCAATAAACAACAGTTACATGCAATATATAATAACAGAGTAATTGGAATTTTTTCACATTTTATTGAATATTTTACCTTAAAATTACATAAAATCCATAAAAATATCTATATTTTTACAATAAATGTTCAATATGATGTCCATTGTTGTTCAAGCAGGTATTAATTCTTCTTTTCAT